ACAAACCTACTTAGAACACACACACACACACACACACACACACACACACACAAAGGATACATGAACAAGAAGAAACTTCTAGAGTGGAAAAAAGTACAAGTTGATTGCAATCAGGGAAATGTAAGCAGAAATAATAACAATGAGACTTTTTTTAATTTAGAAGATGGCAAACTACAAATAGTTCAATTTTCAAGTGGTGGGGTTGTAACCATGGGAAAACTTCTTGGGAAGATGGTTGCTCATGTGTTTCAAAAATGGTATAACACAAAAAAAATTGTATAACGACTATGGAAGACAGTTTGGTGTTTCCTCAAAATGGGTAGAAAAATGGTGATATATTCACACAATGGAATATTATGTAGCACCAGCACATAAAAATCCCAATGAAGTATTTGTAGAGTGCATTAGAACATGGGAGAGACTAGAGAACATTATGTTGAGTGAAATAAATCAGCACAAAAGGACAAATACTATATATAAGACTGCTATTGTGATAACAGGAGAGTAACTGAGAGGTGGGGAACTGGGAGAGAAAGAACACTACAAGGACCAAGACAAAGGAAAATTAAATATCTGGAAATAAGTGAGATAAAGGCGATATGGCTATTGCAAGTAGCAAATAGGAACAAGTTGTATATAACAGATTAAAAGGGAATGAGGTGAAGGGATATGGAAGAAAGAGGAAATCTAGGACAGCAGACACTCTTGGGGGTTGGGGGGTGAATAAATAGGTAAGGTGAAATGGAGATTTGAGAAGATGGGAAGATAAATGTAACAGATCAACAGTAATTAATTATAGAAAGCACAGTGTACAGAAATGATTGTGTAAAGCAAAATACATAAAAGAAACAAGGTATATGGACAATCTTAGAAAAGTGAATGATAGTATAAAGGAAAAATATTTTTTTAAAAATAAAATATTCTTCTGTAGAGAAAATAAAAATCAGGAGACTAGAGCTCTGGTGGCCTAGTGGCAAGAAGTTGGCACTACAATACCAAAGGCACATGGTTCAAATCCACCAGCTGCTCCATGGGAGAAGGATGGGCAATCTCCTCCCCTGTGACTGCCAGAAGGTCAGCTATAGGTCTGTTCTAATTCTATGGTACACAACAACAACAGTCGGAACTCACCTTTTTTGCCCATCCTCCTGTGGAGGAACTGGTGGATTTGAACTGTTTATACCTTCGGGATTGTAGCACAGATTATTACCACTAGGCAACCAGAGCTCTCCAAGTAGGAGATGATTAAAGCCTTTGGCTTTATTGGTTCTTACATTTATTAAAAAAAAGAATAACATTTTATAATGGTTATGAATATATAAGACTGAATTGGAGAGAAAGAGTAGTAATTTAAATAAAAGGAAGCAGGAAAGGAGTAGAAGTAGTAAGATTACAGTAAGAAATGGATGCTTAAATGAGCCTAAGGAAACTCTTTTGGAAACATCAAATGGTTTACACAATGCTCTCTAAAAGTCTGTGGTGAAATCTTAGCATTTGCAGCATTTAAATGGAGACTAGGAAATAACATGTATTTTGTAATACCTATTTGGACCACTCAGAAGACTAAATTGGTTAATCTCTTAAGTATTTTCACATTTCCCTCATGCTGTGATTTTCTGGAAAGGCCCAATTACATTAGCAAGGCCCAATTACATAAGCAATGCACATTTCCTACTATAGTTTCAGGAATATTGTGTTGTGGCTTACTCTCAATATCATGTAAAAGATTTAAGGTATAAATGAATATTGAGAAAACCTGGATAAATTATGTTTACTGCATTGAAGTCTATGAGGGACAGAATAGTTTAAAAGTATTATATTTTAGGGCATTACGTTTATCATAAGAGTATGGAATGAGGGTTGAAGAGTGGGGGG